GTAAGTGAAGTGTTCCCTTGGATTCTGTGAGCTACTCTAGCAAATTACTCAACCTGGGGAGGGGATGGTGGGGAACCCCTGATCAGGAGCCAAGATGGAACCGAAGTGTGGGTGATCAGGGGTCTCCACAAGGGTGAAGTCACCAGCCACTGCAGGCGCTGACCTTCAACACACCCTGAAAGGAGAGCAGGAACGAGGCCCTCTGTGCTCTGGGAAAACTGGCAGAACAGGCTTTCTGAGAGCTAGATATTTTCAGAAGATTTTATGAGCCCAAACTCTTGCATCTTCTCATATCTAGAAAGGCATTAAAATCATTAGAGGTGACACCTGCCCCTCATGACTATCAGCAGGCCTCTGCCTAAATGTGTGCCTGACTGCATGCACATCCTTAACTAAAATCACGTATCTGCTGCCCCCCACTCCACCTCTTTGGAGCAGTTCCTCAGAGCTATCTGAGATGCTGTGTCCAGGGCTACTGTCCTCATTTTGCCCCAAATAACACTTAACTCACAACTCCCCAAAATTGTGCATTTTTTCCAGTCGACACTGGGGACCCACCACCTGCGACTGGTGTCTGAAGCAGGGGCAATCTCGTGGGACTAAGCTCTTAACCCTGTGGGGTCTGTGCTACCCCTGGGTAGTCAGTGCCAGAACTGTTTAACGTGAAGGGGCACAACCTCAGAGCTGGTCTCAGAAGTGCTGGGAGCGGAGAAACAGTGTTCTCTTATGAAGTTAATTAGACTACAAGAAAAAGTTCAAATAGGTGTCAAAAGAATTTAAGAATAAATTAAAGTACTCCCCACACCAGGTCTCTATGAGTTACTAACACAAAGCACAGAAAGAAAAATAAAGTTACACATTGAATAGGCTTAGAAGCAAGTTGACCAGATGCCAGAACCTCTTAAACCGAACTGGCCGTGAGTAGCACTCTAATGTTGATTTACAGCCAGAGTCTCTTTACCATCCACGGCAACACACAGCCTTAAGCTCTGGCATCAAAGCAGTAACCAACAAATTAGCATTATCCCTGAAAAATTCAACCAAACATCTGCCCCCGGAGACCCTGGCACAGAAGGGCATTTCAGTGTTGCTCCAGGACGGCAGGAAGGAAACTGGATTCACGTATTTCAATGGGATGTCTCAGTGTACATTCTTCCTGAGGGACTGTTTACCACGGATGAATGAAGACATGAGAGAACAGTCACACCATTTCATTTCAGACCACGTGGAACTCGAAATACTGCTGTGCGTATTTTTTTTTCAGTTTGCTGTGCCCATATTTGAAAAATAGTAACACTGCAAAATATAAAGTAAATTAAAAAAGGAAAGGAAACTTTGAACCTTATGTACCGAGCAAATGCCAGGTCTAGCAAACATAATGCTAGTCCTAGATTACATGTTGATTTAAAAACAAAAAACTGTAAAAAAAAAATAGTACAATATAAAAACAAATTAATGTTTTATAGACCCTGGGAAAAAGAATTTTCAGCAAAGTACAAAATTTTAAAGCATGCCTTTCTTTCATTTTGTAACTCTTTACTGCAGAATAGCTCAGAGTGTCACTTCTGTTTTAAATAACAGAATTGATAACTGAGCAAGGAAATGTAATTTGAATTATGAAATTCTTGCTTTAATAAAAATTCCCTCAACAGAAAAAAATACTCTTTTACTTTGCCACATATTCTTTTACTTTGATACATAGTTTAACGTGCTTGGTAACATCATGAGTCGCAAAACTTGTAACTGCAAATGCCTTCAGTTGTGGATTCCTTACAGGGGTTACTACATAGGAGTTCTCATGAGTAATTTTCTTTTTAACCTCCTCATAAATAGGATGTGTAAGTGAAGAGTTAAAACGCCATCTTAGCTCTCCACTTTATACATACAGAAACCAAGTCTAATGATAGCAAATGACTCGCCCAAGGCCAAGGACCCTAAAAATCATTAGCAAAACGATTCAACATTCCTAAGTAAGATACTCTAAAAATAATATACTTAAAGCCACTGATCCAAAATACTGACTTGTTTCTCAAGGCATATGACTGATATTCTATAGGATATTAATAGACACTTAGCAAATGTGGGTTCTTTGGTCAAAAAGTTTGTAAATGTTGGGTTAAACAAAGACTCTTAGAGCCTTTACTGTACGAATGGACTGCATGAACTGCTAAGAAGAGAAATACAGTAGGCAATCGCTTTTGGAAATTTATTGGACCACAGATGTCACATTATCTCTACATAGTACACAGCAGGAAACGCCGTCTTAACTTGTTTCCAAGAGTTACTTTGCTTCCCCCAGAATTTATCATCTCAATGTTCACCAGAGGAATCTCTAAAATTGCTCCTGGTTATGCAGTCCTTCAGTTTCAACCCTTTAAGGGCTCCCTTCTGCCACCTGGGTTAATTAAGCCCACTGAGGCACAAGGCATGTCAGGTCCTCAACAACCTTGATGCTCCCAAGCTGCGCTTTTAAACTCTCTGTGTATCTGAGAAGTATCAGAAGCTCAAATTCACTGAGAGCGGGTAGGGGGTCGGTGAAGGGCTTCTTAAGGGGTGTATCTGACTCCCTAGTGGTCTCTGGAGGTAGGCTTCTACAGATATAGCCTGAGAAATGACCTGCTTTTTCTGAAAACCTTTTAAAAATGTAAAACCCATTCTGAATTCACAGACAGCACAAAAACAGACCAGCTGGCCACAGTACGCTGTGCCCCACTGGGTTAGAGGAAGGCACCGTCCAGGGCACTCCAGACTGCCCACAGTGAGTACGGCCACGGGACACGGGAGGAAACTGAAGGCTGCTGCGTGATGAGAGCCGTGGAGGCCAGAAGAGGACGCGTGAGGGGCAGCTCACTAGCAGCTGAGGTACGGCAGTGAGACCACCGGGCAAGACAGCCCCTGCTCGTGCCTCTCTCCCCACGTGAGACCAGGGCTGAGACAAGAGCATCTGTTTCCAGGAGGGGAGCAACGCCTGGGACGAGCAGCAGCCAGGAAGCATATAACTCAGAGGACCAGCTACCAATACATCCCCCCAGCATCAGCCTCTGCCAATCCTATGCAACCACGGTGTCTTTCCCTCAGCATGGGCAAGCCGGGTCCCAGAGAATGCAGACCAGCTGTCAGGGCATCTCACACAAAAATGAGCTCACGATCACCAATCTATCCTCTATTTGAGGAAGGCAAATGAAAAAGGTGAGGAACAAAAGAACTAGCACCCAAGGAAGGAGAATCCATAGAGCAAGTGGAAAAGCACCTTCAAAAATAATTACTGTCCTTAGAAAGATAAAAGGGGAAAGCATGTCTATGAAATAACTATTACAAAAATCCAAATGCATTTTTAGAATAAAATATTGCTGAAATAAAACATTCATTAGGAGGGCTGAAGAGAGAGCCTAATGTTCATGTTTCAGAGAAATAACACAGGAAATGGAGCAGCTTTGCTAGAACGACAGCACAAAAGAATGAAGAAATGAAAACTATAAAAAAGGTAAGAGATTAAAAAACATATAACTGGAAGTTTCATCACCTAAAAAATGTTCCACACAAAGAGAATAGAAGAAAGAAGAGTAGAAAAGAAGTATTTGCAGTAGGAGCTGAGAATTTCCCAGAACTAAAATACACATAAGCTGACACGGCAAGAGGCCTTTCGAGTACAAGCAGGGTAAGCAAGGGGAATACACCATGCACACACATGCACACATAGCCCTAGACACAGTATGGTGAACGTTCAGACATATTAAGGCAAAGAGAAACCACAAGCACAAGCAGATAAACATTATAAAACAAAGGTACAACAATCCACAATATCGTACTTCTCACTAGCACCACTGGGTGCAAGAACAGTAGAGCAGAATCTTCGAAGGACGTAAGGAAAAGAATTTTGCACCTAGAATTCTGTATCTGCCAAACTGCTAGCCCTTTAACATGGCAGCCAAAAGACATCTCTGGACATGTAAACACTCAAAGTTTACCCCTCGTAACAATTTAAGGAGACAGCAGTAATATACAGGTAGCAATGTGGCAGTAATATGCAAGCAGTGACATTAAAAAAGGACATTTTTACCACCTATTGTTTCCCAAATAGGCAATAATCAAGACAAATGTTATTTACTAACAATCTAAGAAGTTAAAGGAAAGACAACACCAACATGAGAAGTGGGGAGTGGGAATCAGAGAAAAGTAAAAATATGATAAGGTTCTTAACTTGTTCGGGAAGAAAAAGATTTAGAAATTGACTTTTTTTCCTCTAAGTGCTTCTAAAATTAATGTGTTAAAGTGTGAGATAAAATTTAAAATTGAAATTAGAACAAACCATTGGAGGGAAAAAGGAAAGTGCATGGGGTGGATGTACAGTTACAGAAAACAGTCCCCGAAGGGCCAATACTCCCGTTGTAACGAACTGCTCGTGGTCCCTCACGAGCTCACACAGGTCCACTTGTTCCTCCACAGCCTCGGTAATACCTCCATCCAAACCCTCCCCCAAGCCCTCACCTTTGTTCTTGCCCCTCCCCCTGATCCTACAGTATGATACATGCATTTCTACCATAGCATCTACGATACTTTTTTAAACTTGTTGTTTACAAAACCATCTTGCTCACTGGACCTAAGTTCCTTAAGGATTAGGGCAGCCTCCTCACTTCCATATCCTTTACCACATCGCAGTTACTCATCATGTTTGTTGAATGGATGGATACAGAGGCAACTTTAACACATTTAAAATAGTGAGAGACACAGAGATTGAATATTGCTAAGGCTATACGTGATTAAATTATGTATTGCGGGGTGTGTGTGTGTGTGTGTGTGTGTGTGTAAATGCCATGTCTAAGTTCCCATCGCATCTCTGACAAAGTCAGCCTTGCATCTTCTTGTTAAGTTTAAGAGTCAACTAAAGTTGCAGGAGGACGGACTAGACAATGCTAAGGTGTCCTTCATCGCCAAGGCTCTAAGCTTAGAGAATAACGTTAGAGGCACTGTGATTGATTGTCCCTGAAATCATACTACACCTGCAGAAGCTCCATGTCTTCCCGGTTTTCAGACCCAGGAATATTCTCCATCAGTATGGCAGACATGACTCTCATGTTCATTTTCACCATATCCAATTCGCTGTGCAGTTTTCCGATCTGCAGAGAGCAACACAATCACCAGTAAGTGTGACACCAAGAATGGCTAGCTAGTTTCCTCCTCCCAGGGGACATTCACTGGAGGAGAAAACATTTTGATAAAATTTAATATTTTCAAACTTATATCAACATAATTAAATTACACTGTAATTGTATACTGTACATTTTAATTACAAATGCACAACCTGTCACCTTCTAAAAGGTCTTGAAATCTCTTGTAATGAATTTTAAAATATGCTCTAGGAGAGTGAATGAAGGGGGAAAAGTCAGATTAGAACCAATACGGAGAAGGAAGAAGGTGACCATTATCAGGAACCTGGACAAAATGGCAAAGTTAGTCTGGGTTTCCTGGAAACCAGTAGGGGAGAAAAAAATAAGTGTTTTATAGTCCCATTGTGTTAGAAAAGGAAGAGTCAAGAGAGAAACACTTTTTTTTTTCTCCTGGATTAAATTCTAAGAGGGACTATTCACAAGGATTTTTTAATATAATACTGAATAATAATGATACAAAGTCTCAAATGATAGTTCCTTGTAGCAGGGCAGACATGAGCTTCATTCAATAATTGCTTATCTAAACCTCTGGTAAACAGATACAAAGAGGCAAATGTAATTCATCAGCCGGCATAGTTAACATTAGTAATAAGACTATCACTTCCTGAGCTCGCTGAGATGGCATGTGGACAGTCCTAACAGGAGCAACAGGAATCAGACGGTTGCCACTAGATCCATTCCACAGACAACCCTCCACATAGCTGCTAAAGCTACTAGACAGCACTACCGTTAAAACCTCAGGCTTCAGAATCAGACAGAAGCTATGAGATTAATTCCACTTACAACTGAACCATGATAACGTGCACATATCACTAAGTCTCAGTCCCCTCCTCTGTAAAATGAGGCTAGAATACACATCTGCCTCGTCGCACTGTTAAGAAGAATCAACAAACTATATTTAAAGTGCTCAGAACCTGGTCATCAGTAAACACGGTTGTCGCTGTTACCTGTTCTGGGACCAGTGTAATGGTGGAGCTCTTGGGAACCATAGAATAAAGAGCTGGTGCGGTAGGAACGGATGCTGACGGACTTGGTGAGATCTGAGCAGTCTATCAATATGAAATACAGGAATATTGTTATTTGAATTAACTTGATCACCCCCTCTCCCAAGCCCAGGTTTTCCATTTACATGACTCAATCCCTAGGGAGAGTTAGCCCTCAGGACAAACCCTCCACCAAGATCAGGCTTTTGGGATACACCTGAATTGCTTTTTCTACCAAGGCAGGATTCACCAACCCACAGAAGGAAAGAACTACTGTTTCTGCATGATGGAAATTACAGGAAGTTACAAACTGAGCTGTAATCAGTCACTCAAAGTATTTTAAGTTCAAAACCTTGATTATCTGCAAACTTGAGAAACTCTTCCATAGGCACAGTATTATTAAATAAATTTATCAGATGACTACCTAACCTGCCTAGCACCAACCTTTCTTTTGAAAACTGCCCCTCCTCTGCTCTACCCAAGTGATTTCCATGTGGAGCCACCATGTTCTTATATAACCTCAAATCTGTGCACAAATGGAAAACTGACCCAGGTTGGTTCAATGGGTCCCTTCTCCAAGTTTTTGACCTTGGACTCTGGAAAAGCTAAAGCTGTAACATGAAAATCTGGGAGCTATGTTGTCTACCATGTGGAAAAAGCTAGTCTGCAATGACAGAGAGGAATGAAGCTGATGATCAATGGGAAACAGACAAGTAGCAAGGCATCGGAATGCTTGGTTCTCTTTGATTCCAAAGATCCAGCTAACAACCTTCTTGTGGCTTGGTGGGCTACCACGGTTTCCTTCTCATAAATGAATTTTTCAGCTTAGGCTAGGGGGAGCTAGGGTTGCCCCTTTCGATGAGAAAAGACCCATGTACTACGCTGTCTTACTCTACACAGGTCAACAAAAATGCCTAGTACCTCTTCTCTGGCCGCTTCAGCCTCCGCATCTGATGGAGGAAACTGAACACCTTTCTTAAGAAGATCCAGGTACACTTCTTTCACCTCACTTACATCCACGCCTCCTGGGAAGCCCTGCGACCAAGTCTGAATTCAAGACATGGAACGTTCCAGAGTTAAAACAGCAGCAAAAAAAAAACACAGTTCTTAAGCTTGTGACAGAAAATGAAAGGTTGACAATTATGTACCTTAGAAAGAGAAGCTACTTTTTTTTAACTGAGGTATACAGTTAATTTGAAAAAACCTACTTTTGAATGCCATACACAAAATGCACACTTTTAGAGACCAGAGTAATATACAGTATTTTTAATTAGATTCCCATGCCTCAACAATTTAATGGCCCTCTGGAACAGGTACTGTTGATTGTTTTTACTATATTAAACCCAGAATTAATAGATTCTAAAATAACATCATTAACTTTTTGCCAAATAACTGAAAATATCTAATTCAGAACATAGTTTCCCTCTGCTCCCTAAACATCATTAACTTTCCTACGTGACATGGATAAAACAAAAAATGAGAGCCAAGTTCGGACAAGACTATAAATTCTTCAGAAAAAGGCCACAATTGACACAACACTGTAAACTGACTATAACTCAATTTAAAAAAAAAAAAATCCCCCGCCCCCCAAAAAAGAAAAAGGCCACAATCCAATGCCAAGAAACTATTATTACATGGAAAATCACATAGTAAAAGATGCTTTGGGGTTCAATTCCAGGTTTGTTTGTAAAGGATCACTGAACCAACTGGGAGTTAGGTAGTTAAATCTCTAATCTTAGAAGTTTACCATCCCACAAGGTATATAATAGACTTACCTTAATAAAATTCAAAATTCTATTCTGAATATCTACTGGCAAGGTGTATCTGGGATTCAGCAGCTTAACTAGACTGTCTTTAACAAATTCCTTCTTCACAATCAGAGACTGGAAACTCGGACCACAGTTCTCCACGCACATGTCAATAAGCTAAGGAGAAAAATTAAGCATTTTATCTCTTTGGCAAAAACACCTCCTACATGTAAGGTAAAAATTGCTAAGCCACAATTTCTACCAGCATTCTAACTACTAACCGTGAGGTGGGAAGCCCATGAAAAAGATGGCAGGACCCCCAGGCAGGGCCATTACCCTCCTGCCAGAACCATCAGGTTCCTTGGCCCAGAAGCATTATCTCACTTTTGAAACTCTGAAACGGCTAGCGGAACTTACCCCTAAGATTCTATTGGTTCCCTGAGCTAACTCCTGATTGGTCCATTTCTCTCACTCCAGATTGGTTCATTTCCCCTACTCCTGATTGGCCCATTTCTCTCATTCCTGACTGGTCCATTTCTACAAACCTTGTTCCTAATTAGTCACCTGTGTTGTACCTTATTTGCATATGATGTTGCAAAATGTTGCAAAGTCTAGACTGGTAGCCTATAAAAGGCTGTGTAAACCTATAGACGGGGCCCAGAGCTTGGAGTGTTAACTCCTCTGGGCCTGCTGGCATAATAAACCTGAGTTCTCCAACTCTCCAAGTGCTGCTTGGTCTCTCACGCGGATCCAGGTTGCTGTCACAACTGAGCTGTAACACCGAGCTGTAACACTGAGATGTAACACACTTTTCTGCAACAAGCATAATTTGGTATCTATGAAAATACATTCAAAACGTTAGGTTCTGGGAATGTGAGGAAGTATGAGGCGCAGTGCGACTGCTGAGTGGATATGCTGCAGGGGCGTCAGGACACACATGTACAAGAACCGATAACAATTCGAGGTAGCAAAAGCCAAGGGCCAAATGGGAGGTGCAAACAAAGCACATGGACGACGGACAAGGTGACATTTGTCCTAGTGCTCCCAGGAAAGTCCTGCTGAACGCCTGCTGTCCTGGCCTTATTAATGGCAATACCTCCCCTCCCTCTCAAAAAAGTCCTTGTCTGAATGATAAATGACATGGTTACCCCCGCTACAGACCTTTGCAGGCAGATGTGACAATTCAGGGCCAGGTGGTCTCAGGACTTTTGGAAAAGGGGGGGGGGGTCCTAAGCTGGGCTGTGAGAAATAGTAAGAAAAGTACAAATGAGGATAGAGCAATATTCTAGGCAGGGAAATGGTATTAAAAATACACATACAGGTGACAAGCGTCATGAGCTGCGAGGAGGAAAACAAGTCCTCCCATTTATCTAGGTTCCTTTACGTAGGTCAACTAGGGACGGCTGGGTGGATGAAGTCTGGAGGGGTTTCATCCCGACTGCAGAGAAATTTGTGTAGCCATATGAAGAATGTGGGCATTGTCCTGAAGGCACTGAGAAGTTACTGAAGGGCTCTTATTAGTTTGTCTCCATCACATCTCTGTCCTGAACTTGAGAGAAAGGTGAGTGTGTGCAAAGTACTCTGACAGGGTTTTCCAGCAGCACTCTACAAAGGGAACGGGAGGGCTACAGAACCGGCAATGATGGAGAGACCCAGTAGCGACCCACCAGGGCAGCCTGCACACAACGGCCCGAATGAGGATGCAAGGAAGGAAAGACATGAGAATTAGGAAGGAAGAACTTTCAACAACTGGGTGTTCGTTGAAAGAGGATGGCTAAAAATTAAGCGATTGTTATTCTGCACGAGATCGTTGGCACCCTGGATGGAAACTTGGAAGTGGATGGGGTTGTCTGACTGGTGTAAGGTCAAAAGGATGGGTTGAAATTTAGATATTTTGAGTTTCCAAGTACTATGAACTGAATGTTTGTGTCCCTCCCAAATTACATGCTGAAGTTCCCAATACCTAATGTGACGGTACTTGGAGGTGGGACCTTTGGGAGCAAATTAGGTCATGAGGGTATAGTTCTTGTTTATGTGATTAGTGCCCTTATAGAAAGGGGTAAGAGAGATGACCTCTCTTTCAGCCATGTGAGGATACATGAGCAAGTGGCCATCTACAAGCCAGAGGGTGGGCCCTCATCACACGCTGGACCTGACAGCACCTTGATCCTGGACTTCGTAACCTCCAGGACTGTGAAAAATAAATGCCTGTTGTTTAATATGGCATTTTTTGTTACAGCAGCCCAAGATGACAAAGACAAAAATGGATGGTGAGACATTCAAGTGGAGTTTTTTAGCTGAGAGCTGTGCATGCCCAGCTACACCTCAGGAGAGAGTCAGGCCAAAAGGGAGGACTCGAGGCTGCCACGGATTAGCAGAGAAGAGGAAGGGGCTAGAACAGTGGGCTCACCTGTTAGACCAGACGGGCACTCAGAGGCAACTGAAGAGCACCCAACAGAAACTGATGCACAAAATGAAAGAGAATGTAATTTGGCAAAGTCCCAAGAGGGTAAGGTTTCCAGGAGGATGGAGTGTCAAACAGTTAAGAAAAGGGACTGAGAGAGTGGGGGTCATCAGTCACCTCGAATAAAAGATGTTCAATAAGTCGACATGAGAAGAAGTCAGGCGAGGAGAGAAGGAGTTGGTATTGAAGAACTTCATGCAGAAAGCAGATTTCTAAAGGTGATCTGAAAACAAAATTTAATCTCTAGTTCCCATGCTCACCACCACCTCGGGTTGGAAAGGTCACAAAAATCATAACATGAGCAAGATAGACAGACTCATCTCTGCAGAAAAGAAGCCCTGAAAATTGACTCTACACCATGCTCCGTGTTGTGTCACTTTAATGACAACAGAAAAAGAAGGTATGAAAGCTGTACTTTTAAGGGCAATGGTGCTAAGAAAACAACCATAAAACACAGAAGCAGAGTACACGCAGCTTTGAGAAACACAAGGAGAACCTTTACAGCAAAGGGAAATAAAAAAAGAATCCAAAACATATTGATATTAATCTATTTTAATGCAAGTTGTTTAGAGAAAGACAAGTTGAAAAGCTGAGTAATACATGCCTTTCTTGCTTGACACATGGTTATGACGAGCTTTTATTAGGTGAAATGCTGGTGGGAAAAGTGCCTTTAGTTCAACGGGAATTTATAGAAATATTTCATGTGACCGGTATGCAGTCTTAAGCAAGATACTCTGCCTCCAAGTCTCATTTTCCCTAATGATGAAATGAACGCCAAATATTCCACAAACCACTTTCTATGTTTGGAGGACCAAGATTTTACGATAATGGACAACATTCCCAGGAGGTTACCAACTCAAAATCAAAGAGTCAACATGAAATGCAGAGAATATTAACATCCGGAGATCACCAATCACGCCCTCTGTATTTTCCCACTGGAATCTAGAATGTCAGGACTAATTACTTCAATCCTATCACCACTGCCATTATGTCACCAGAATCTCCTTCCCACCCCAGCCCACTGAGCTAAGCAATAAAAACTTTTTGTGGCTGTGGGAGCCCATGACTGGGTTAACAAATTGTAACAGACCCCAGCCGCTTGTCTTCTTTAAGAAGAACAAATGTGCTTAGTAACTGCTTTGCAAGCAGGAGCCTGTGCATCCCTGCTCCGGTCTCCTTGCCCTAAAAAGCAGAGACAAAGCCTTGCTTGCACAATTGAGGTTTTACATAGCACTCTGCTCTTTGCAAAGCAGCGACCCAGGCCCTCCAGCTATAAACGCTGGGCGTGCCTGCTGGTAGATAGTTATCCCCCAAAACAAGGAACTGGCTGGTCTGGCGCTTTGCTTTAACGTATCTGTAAGAATGTGTCTTGTTCCCCTCTCCCTGTGACTTCCCTGAAGATAAACAAAGCCTTTGTACTCACAGTGACTTCTACAGTCTCCATCCCATCCTGTCTTTCCCTAAATTCCTGCATTCCATCATCCAACTGTTAATGATTTTTCCTTTGATTATACACAATAAATGTAGGAGCATTTGAGAGGCTCCTGGAGTTGGCTCCTGACTCCCTCTCGCTCTCTTTTGACTTTTTCCACGTTGTCTCTAGTAATTCATTCCATCTCGGTGGGGCTTCTGACGGCCAGAACTCACATGTGGCAAATTGGAAAAATTAAATACCTTGTTTCTACACATTTTGAAATTGGGCCTTGGTGTAATTTGTGTGTTTGCATACCCTGTTTTTGCAAACAGGACAACCTAGAAACCATAATCCTGAGGCAGGGTAAACAACCCGGGAGCCAAGGAACTGAGAGACGAAAAGAGGATGCCAACATCAGGCTTCACAGATCTCCTTTAGCACCTGGCTGGGCAAGTCACTTGTCCTGACTAAGCCTCAGTGTCCTCATCTGCAAAATGGTCATCACGCCTTCCTCCAGAGACCTGCTGCACACCTTAAAGTGAAATATAACGTATGTGAAGAGCTGACCCGGAGCAGAACCTGAAGGAATGTAAGCACTGTGATCACCCATCATTCCATGGATAATGTCTCATCAGGAGAGGATGTACTGATTAGCTGATCGAAGTATTCCTTTCAGAAAGGCTTGGGGGGAAAAAAAAGAGCTACTTGGTAGTTTCACTTCTCACAGTAAATCACTACACCAAGCACAGCAGACTAGGCTTTGGGGCCACCCAGAGCCGAAGCCCCAGCCAAGGTATGGCCACCTTAGGGGGTGAACTCGTTTTACAAGTTCCTGCAGGAATAAACGCATCTCACACTAATTCTGAAGCCCCCATGGCTCATCACCTTGGGGGTGGCTCCTATTAATTAACTGAGTCCCAGGAACCTGTTCAATCACTTTCCTTTTCACAATAATAGTATCTTGCTGAGACTTATCACAATTGACTGATTCAAGAAAAGCCAGCCTCTGGCGAAGACAAAGCCTGGAAACAAAATGCTTTTAAAAACAAAACAAAACTGCTGGTTCTTGACAGATCTGCACCACCAACTGAGGTAGGAAATCACAGTGTAGTCAGATCCCATCAAAGACCTAATCAAGGCTAACAAGTCCATGGAGAATCCAAACGACAGATTATATAAACGACATTTATAATTGACCTTGACAGGCTCTCATCACTTCACAGTAATGAAACGGAAATGTAATATGTGAGGATTCATTCTTAAAGAGTTTATTGGTAAACATATAATTGCTTTTGACAGACACTGGGTGATTCTTTCTGTGACTAATTTCCCTCAGAATTAAGTTTGGCTTAAGTTAATATGAAAGTCAGTTTTGAAGCCTTAAACACACCACTACAATGCAGTGAGTAGTCTTGGGGGGAGCTGATCGGGCTGTTAAAGACACAACATGGGGAGATCGGCATGAAGCTATCAAGAGCCAAAGGCCAATTTAAAGAAAATCCAAGAAGCAGGCACCTTCTTGAACTGTGCCCCTAACTATGAAGGGCTAGTCGGACCCCAGCCTGTGACCCACCCTTATTCAGGCACAGGTTTTAGACTCTCTTGCTCTCACGTACTGCTGTGGAAATCACGAGGTGGAGCATGCAGTTATCTGAGGTGGACCAGGTAACGGGAACAGACAGCTAGCTGGGAGTGAGGCTCGAGAGGTTAGAACACTCAAAGGAAAGAGTGGGAACCTAAGGGGAAAGGGAGGGCTGAGAAAGATGACAGTCTGGAATAATCCAGCTTCCCTGGGGAAGACTCCTGGTTCATCCCCAGAAGGAAGGAACCACAACGAAGGAAGATACGGAGACAGGGATAAGAAGCAACCATGGAAATGTCAGGTGGGCTAGCTACAAAAGAGAAAGAGACAAACCATTATACAGAATGAACCACTCTAAGAAGGTGAAACGCCACACGTGGAAATATAGAAAATGGCATAAATACATCTTTTGCTCTTAGGTTCCTCAGTCAATTTTCCAAATCAGCAGCAACCTTGAGATACCCTAGAGCCACTTCATTTTAGAGCACATCTATGTATCTTTCTACCCCAATTCTACAGTACATTCCATTCGCCCTGAGTCTTCCTGCAGACTAGGGGAGTGGGATGGGGGCTGAAGGACACTCGGTCATTAATCAGCCAACATCGGATACACTGATGTGCTAGCTCTGCACTCCGTACAAAGGAGTTGAAGACACAAATGAAATACAGTGGCCCTTTCTTGCAAGAGGCCTGATTCATTCTGAAAAGCAAGGTGGTCCAGAGCCAGGACATGGAATTTAAGAGTCTGAAAACTGGGTTGAAATCTTGCCCATGCTACTTAAATCTTGGAGGAAAAAAAAAATCACTTAACCTCACTAACTCTGTCTCTTCATCTGTGAAATGGAGTCAATAGCACAACTCCCTCACACGGTTGCTGAGAGCATCAACCAGGTACCAGGCAAAGGTTTATTTCCGTCATCAACCCAGCATTCTGCTATGTCTGCTGAGTTGCCTCTCCCCCCTTCTCTCTAGTTCCCTCCATTCTGTGAGCTCCCTGAGGAGGCTGCTTTGGTAAAGACAGGTGAGAGGTAGGAAAAAAAAGGCAGAAGGAAGAAAATCCCATCTGAAGCTACATTCAGATCCCTACTTGAAGGGTTTCTGCACTGATAGTTTCATTAAGACGGTTGAATTCATTTCTTCTCTATCAGCTACTGTCCAAGAAAACAAGATGTGGGAAGTTCTCCCCATGCGGGTGGAAACAGGGATCTGTGCTCACCTGTGCCCCACAGCCCTCTTCAACACTCCCAAACCCCCTAAGGGCAGTGCTGCAGGATGAGTGCCAGGACCCTGCGTGGCCTGGGGCTGGGGTGAGGTCAGCAAAGGCACTCAGAAGAAGTTAGAAAGCCACACAGATCACTCTCAGGCAGCAGGCAGGGCTTGCAAAGCACACTGAAGTAAAACGGGCAACTCACCAAGCAATGAAGAAATCACACGGCCAAGGTTGAGGGGAAAACAGGAACACATCAAATCAACGTCAACACCCAAATAAAGACAACAAGGCAGCAGGGGAGTTGTTTAAATCAACAGAGAACATTCTCCAAACTATACCAAGCAGTGGAACTTGGCTGCCAGCACCTCAGGATTCCACAGAGGTGCTCAAAGGAGGGAGAAAGTGGACGGAGAGGCGCTTTTCAAGCGCCAACTCTCCCCATGTATAACGCACACACAAACTTCTCAATCCACTCAGTACCTACAAGCTTTGCAATACCAGTTCTCATCTTCTGACCAGGAAAAACTGATTTTCCAGGATAACGTGCTCTCCACAAAATTAAACGCTATTACAATCAATGAAACTCCCTGGATTCTGCAATTTTCAATGAACGAAGAGTTTTAATTCATACTGTAAATATCTTTTTGCTAACCTATTCATTTCTCAGAATATTTGTATCCTTTTTACCCAAAACTGGAAATGTGACCATAGCTTGGAAAATCCTAGAGTCTTAATTACTAATGTTAAAGTACTTACTGACAAGGTGAGTTGGATTTCTTTATGATTGTAGTTTTTGGAAATTCTTTTCTTCAAAGCTTTCACTGCATCTTTTGGCCTACAGCAAGAAATACAGTAAAATCATCAATGTAGGCACTGCTCAAAGTAAGCAGTCTCTGAAAAGCAATATATAGTGTGCATATGCAATATGCAAGCCTTGGTCCTGCCTGCTGGGCGACCCTGGACAGATCACTTACCTTTTCACACCCGTTTCCTCATACATCCAGGCAGACAATACCATCTACCCGCCTTGTGAGAATCAAATAAAATATTTATATGACTATTACCCAGAAAGCACTACACACGGAATGTACTCATACCCAGAGTCCTCCATCAATGCACAGAACCAGTCTGCAGGAAATGTAATTTCAAAACATGTTACCTATTTTGATTACCAGTATTTCCTAAGCATCCTGTAGGCAATGGGACATAGAAAGTGCTAGGACTAACTAGGTCAGCTTCTGATAGGCTACAATTTTATGTTACAAAAGGAAGAACTGTGTGTAAGCAGAGGGTCCGAATTTACTCTGAGAGGTTCAAACGGTACAGATTTCCAGTTGTACGTAAGTAATGGGGATGTAATGTACAACACAATGACTACAGTTAACACCCCCGAATGGTGTATTTCAAAGTTCTTAAGAGGGTAGATCCTAAAAGTTTTCATCAGAAGACAAAAAAAAAAAAATTATTGTAATTGTATGAGGTGATAGATTATAACTAAACTTACTGTGAAAGTTGTTTCCCAGTACATGTAAGTTAAGTCATTACACTATACACTTTAAATTTATACAGTGCTGTTTGCCAATTATATCTCAAAACTTAAAAAACAAATCCTTTTTACGTATTACTTTCCAATTTTGTTTATGTTTCCATGAGCAGAATTTCTATTATATGATAATGTAACTAACTACATGATATTACATATACCAACGTAGAACTATAACTATTATAAAATGTATAGATATAGATATATAGATATATAGATGTATTTCTTAAAAATCCTATATAAAATCTAGGATTAAACCCTTGGAAAAGTTCAAAAAATAAAGATACTGTTTAAAAAGAAAAAAAATTTACGCTGATTGTAAATTTGCATTTTGTACGAGCAATGAAGAAATTCGTATTGCCAGTGAAGAAAAGGTTCAGAGGAACCAAATACAGTAAATAAGATTATAGGAAAACACCATAAATGTTTTAAATTACTAACCATAAGCACTTTCCATTGATATAGTCAATAATTAACTGGAATGTTTTCTTCATCAACAAAACTAAGACAATCTCTTTTGCTGTTCATTATTACTTTAATATGCACAGGAAAATTCAGAGAATTGTATTCCTTATAATGACTTTGTAATGTAGACTAAGTCTGAAAATAGTTGGCCTTCTTAACAATTTTGTTTTTTAAACTTCAATTCTCTAAAGTTTAAAAAGTGTAACAAAAGATAGAACAGCTTTTAAGAGCTTAGCATGAACATGAGTGAGTTGGCATTTGGAAGGAAAAAAAAATGTCTTGTGACAAGCAGAGTAAAAAGGCTGCTAGATTACTTCCTGACTGATAATGAAAACAGCCCAGAGATAGGTCACCATCAGGAGTCCACTAGCTTCTCGAAAATATTTTTCAGTTACACTTATATGAAATACTGGCAATCAGCGGAGGGGGAATTCCTAAAGAACAAACAATCTCTCTCTCTCTTTCTCTCTCTCTCTCTCTCAAGAACAAGGAATTTGAACCTCACAGAGATAAAACTTGAAACCATTAAGGAAAAGGCAAAGAGGAGAAAAATGATAATGGGTTCTCAGATATTCCACATGCTGAAACAAGCAGCTGTCCTAGTATTTCAACCTGACACGTCTTCAAAAGGCAGTGGTCGCTTAAAGGGTGATGGAAACACTCAACGAAAAAGCCAAAGACTGCAGGACAAAATGTACTGTTAGTTCTGATGTTTCTTTTTTTTTTTCTTAACATTTTTTTATTGAGTAATAGTCATTTTGCAATGTTGTGTCAAATTCCGGTGTAGAGCACAATTTTTCAGTTATATGATGTTTCTTATCAGAGGCAAATGCATGAACCACATACTGTACTCACCCATCCTGGGTAGTGTTAATTATGTCACAGATGTGCATGAACTGGCCCCAGTCTTCAGTCTGAGCTCCAGCAAATGTAGCCTTTTCTGCAAAGAAAAAGCTGTTATGTTGAGCCTGTGCTACAACTGAATAAAAAATGTCTGGTTTTCCTCAAATAATCTGCCTGGAGTTGCAAGTACCATTAAGTTTATATTACCAAAGGGCAAAGAGATTTTTTTTTCTCTGAGCTACTCCCAGTAATTCAGGAATCAGTCAAAACTCAAGTTCAGAGTGCTGCTGTTTCAACAGTAATGAGTGACCTATTAATAAAGACTGCAGGCCAGCCCAGCTAAATCTCCATCTGCCTGCCTGTCTTTCAGAGAAGGACAGCCACCTATAAGGTGAAGTGCACAGTGCTGAGTCTTTTATCTTATGCAATTTCATTTAATCCACTATTATACACGAAGAAATAAAAGTTCAGAGAAGTTAAGGAAATAACCCAAGGCTACACAGCCAGTACAGGCTAGAACCAGCATTCAAACCTAGGTTGTCTGATGCCAGATTTTTTTTTTTCTTTTTAAAAATCTTTTTATTCCATCCTTGGGGAGGGGGTGTTGAGAAATAAAACAGAACTACTGAAACTGTCTATGTACTTTAGCCGTAGAGCAAGGTCACTCCCAGCACCTGCACTAACCAGAGCTACACCAGGCAGACCTGAAAGTCTCTGTACCTGGAACCCCATCAGTAAACAATCAGATATCTTCCTTCTCCACATCCTCCTTAAGAATACGAAATGACACCTGGAAAGGATAACAGAATACTCAACCTGAATGACCTTTCCTACAACAAAGAAGAATATACCTCAGCATGAAAACACAAGGTCCTAGAGGGGATGAAGAGAAAATGTAAAAGGATAATGAAAAGGATAAAGGTTTGGTTGGGGAAACCCCAGACCTTAGCCTGCTTCCCATCTAGAAGAAGCACTTTTTTTGAACTTGGCATTCAATGGGCAAAGCTTACCAACCTTGTGTTGTTCAGGCACGTACCATTATTCTTCCTGCCAAATTCCTTGCTCCCCATTTCCTGCTCTTCCACCTTTCCATTTTCCTAGAAAACTCCTATTCACCCTTCAAAAGCCATGGCAGAATTAAGTTCTCCCTTTTCCATACGTTTTAAATGTTTTACATTTCTCTATCGCAAAGGTACTGTACTACAGATACTACAAAACTGTGTGTGTCTTTCCTACAAGACTGTGCATTCCCTGATGGTTGAGACTAGGTCTTGCCTCCTCCAGGTCCAGACAGATAGCTGGCAGTATCAGTAAATGTTTACAGCATTAAGGAATAAATCAGCCTATGAAGATGCAGTCTGCATCCATTTCTGTTCAGGGTTCACTTTGGTACCCAAAGGGATTCAGCCAGCAACAGGTACTGGGAAGGCATTTCCTCTTCCATGATAGTTACACCCACCATCGTATAAAGGTGTGGGAACTCAGCTTCAGGTTGGGTGCTGTGTTACTGTCACACAGCAGTTAATGAAGCCGTAGGCAAAACTGTCCAAATCTGAGCCTCCTTATTATAACTTCCAGGTTCTCAGGATTTCCCCACCCCACTAAGTTCCCCACATGACCGTGCTTTGCCTGGCATCTACACGCACTGGCGCCACACCTGGTTCCCAAGGGAGGCACAGGGAGAAGAGGGAGAAGGGGGCCGGTGTTGGTGAGAGTCCAGGCCCTGGCTCCCGCTTCCGCGTACGTGGATGAGAGCGCAGCCTGGAGGGAAGGGAGTCACAGGCAGGCACCTGCGTGGCCCGTAGTGGCCTGGAGGGGCTTCTTGTGACCCCCACACCCCCGAGCGCGCCAGGCTCCCCCTTCCTCCACTCCAGGGCTGAGCATGTTCATTCTCAACGTTTACCCCGAAAAAGTAACTCAGGTTGTAAGGGCCTGGAGCTAGAGAGAACAGATTTGACGAGACCTGTCACAGCGAGGTCATCGCACTTAACCTCCAGGAACCTTCTCCCTGTAAGCGGCCACGACAACCCTGGGCCCTCTGGGGGACGCACTTTCTGAAGAGCTTGCCGCTGCCCAGAAGTTGACGCGCTCCCGTAGAGGCCCACCCACGCGGGCCCACCTGTTCCCTCCCCCTGCTCCCCTCTCCCTCCCTCCCAGGCACCGGAAGGAGGGAGTGAG